CGCCTCACGCTGCCCGGGGCTGCGGGGCTGGCAGGCGGCCTGCAGTAATCAAGAGCTGAAGTCTCATTCTCCGCCTATGAAGCGTTCCTGATAAAAGCAAGACCTCCCATCCTCATCCGCGTGCTTCTGCTTAGCTTCATTCACTGATAATCACCACCCTCCTCCGAGCACCCGGGGAGATTGTCCCACGTGCTGAACGCCTTCGTGATAAGCTGAGCGAGGGGACAGCTTCTTGCAGGAGCGAGTGGGCAACTAACGGCGGGGAGAGCACGAGCTCCCCGCAGCGCCTCCGACTGCCGCGCTGCAGTAAGGTATGCAGCAGCACACGTTGGTGCATCTCTGCTGCGCGGTAAAGGAGTCAGAGCGCCACTCGCTCTCCAGAGCACCCGGGCCCTGGGGCTAGGCAGGTGCCTGGCAGCTGGGGGACAGGCCGTGGAGCACAGCGTGCTCGCAGGCTCTCTGGCGTCACTGTCACAGCAGGACGGACGGACGTACCACCGCCAGGAGACATACAAACAGCTAGGGGAGCGAGGTGTTCTCCGAGAGAAGGGCGCTGATGCCCCGTGCTGTGGGAAAGTCCTTTCTACCTCAGGCTGTAACCCACACAGCTGCAAAGCTGTTCCCTCACAAGCAGAGGAGATGAAGACAGTCCATAACCCTGAGGAGTCATTCGAGTGACAAATCCTGCTCACGAATAAGCACGTGCCCCATCCATGAGGCCTGAGTTCATGTTAGCTCGTTTCTAACGTGCGAGTCTCACAGAGCTTTCTCCCTGCCTGACACCCAGGAGAGGTGGCAGCTACCCGCGCTCCTAGGGCTGTAGCTCCCCACCAAACAGTCATGCCAGGCTTGGCGGATATGGTTTGGTGTGTGTGCACATCTCTCACTCTCATTTAAAGAGAAAGGGATGCTTGCTCTGCTCACACTTGTGGGAAGACAGAGTGGGAGATCCCTCCCTACTGAAGGTAACCTGGGGACAGGCTGCCTGGGGAGCAGAGCCCGTGGCACTCTCCAGTACTTACCGCCAAAGCCAACAGCTAGAAAGTGCGCTGCAGGAGACAGGCTCAGCGACATGGCAAAGTACGGCAAGGAGATCTTCTCAACTACCTGCACTCCAGCAAGAGAAACACACCAACACCTCAAAAATGAGCAGGCAGCAGAACAGAGCTGCCTAAGTCACACCTTTAGGAAGGCAAAGGGCTCCTCTCAAAGGAAAGGCTGACAGATGCACAGCATCTCTCAGAGCTCAGGAACCCGCCAAAGGCGTTGAGTTTCCAGAGAAGACTCAATTTAGAGACTGTTAGTGCTTCTGAAAGCAAATGCCTCCCCCTCCTGTCAGCCTGAAAAGCAGGAGGGCAGCAGCAGTGACTAGCAGCCTTCCCAGAGGCAGCAGGTGTACAGTCCCCTGCTGTTCACTGCTTACCTGGGTCAGATTTTTTGAAAGTAAAAGTTTTGGACGTTCTGAAAGTAAAAAGTTGCCGCACTAACCAGCTGCTCAGCTGAACCTACCTCCCACCTTCAGACTTTCTTTGTTTTTCTTGTACTGCTCGCCTCTGGGCCCTGGCTAGTGTGGGGGTGCCACTCTGTGTATGGCATGCATCAAGAGGGTGTCTTGCTCTCTAGAGTCACCCATCTTTCACTGCAGAAAGACTAGCTTGTCTGCAAAGGACCCTGGTTTGGCCTGCAGGTTTCCTAGGTCAAGACAGGGCAGTGCTGCCTCACCCTCCCCTGCGGGTTGTTTGTCGTGAGCCAAGGTCGACTCAACGGCAGAGGCATGTCTGCGCTGCGCTGGAAGAGCAGAAGGGTTGCACAGGGAGGGCACAAGTACCTGTTTCTTGCGCAGACTGTAAAACAAAGCTTCCTTCTGCATCCCAAAGCCAACGTAAACCAGAGTACCATGTTCCCAAGGGCAGAATGCTGCCAGGCTTGGAGGGAGGCTGCTGAGACCCTGGGAAGGGAAACCAAAAGCAACAAAATTAAGGCTAGCTTCTCCAGCCATGCCTAGTCCGGGGGTGGGGTGGGGGTCAAAAGGAGAGCAGGGAGGGACATCAGCCTTTTCGCTGTGAGTGGGCAGAGCACCAGGAAATTAGTATGATGGAGACTGCTCCCTCCCTCTCACACTATGGTCTCAGACATGCTCATTGCAAAGAAGCAGGGAGCAAACACATACTGTCATAGGAACCTAAGGCAAGTCTCTCTACCGTTTACTGTCACAGGAACAGGACATACG